ATGGTAATCAAAGAGATTAAACGTGCCAGCAAGACTTGCTATAAGAACAATCTAGAAGATACAAATTAAAGTCTGGTAACCCAAGGAAATGGTGGAAAGGAGTCAAGGCAATTACAGGGCAAAAAAAAAAAAACAATTCCGAGCAAATTGACCTTTGGTACCCGTGATGTCTCTGGAATTGAATTGGCCGATTTGATTAATGACACCTTCTTGAAAGTTGTTCAAGAATAAGAGCCTCTGGAACCTCATAACGACCCACCTGACTTTGCTGTCCATGATAGCTTTCTACTCACAACGGAAATGGTGTCAAAAATGCTGAGTAGGCTCAACAACAAAAAATTTGCGGCCCTGAGCCATCGTTATTCTAAAAGAAATGTCTTCGCTTTTTGCAGCGCCACTGACATATATCTTTAACTCTGCTCTTATTGAAGGTCACTTTCCTGCACAATGGAAGCAAGCTGATGTCTGCCCAGTCCCTAAGAAATCCTGTGTCCAAGATCCAGAGAAAGACCTGCGACCAATTTCACTTGCTTCACCAGTTGGCAAATTGTATGAGATTCACCTAAACTTCTTGCTTCTCCAACAAATTGGGTTTTCGTTGGATAAGCGTCACTTTGGTTTTGTCAAAGGCTCGTCAACCACATGTGCCCTTTTGGACTTGATGAACTTCCTCCTCTCATCAAATGATGATCCGAAAAACTTAGTGAGACTTTGCTTCTATGATCTAAGTAAAGGTTTTGACAGGGTGGACCATAACATCTTAATTGAAGTAGTGCGCCAATTCGACGTTCATCCTGCCTTGGTTTAAAGTATTACCAGTTTCCTKACTGGGCGCTCTAAAAAAAGACTGCCTTGATGGAATTTCATCCGAGTGGAAACCTGTTCCTGCGGGCATCCCACAGGGCAGTGTCCTGGGCCCAACGTTATTTCTTATCATGGTTAACTCCCTGGCTCACCGTGAAAGCTGGTGCTGGAAGTACATGGATGRCATCACTCTTGGTGGAACTCTCCGTGCTGACGTTGGCATTATAAGTTCTTTTTCAAGAAAAGTTCAATGATATCTGTCGTGAGGTTCATGACAAAAAGATGCCGCTAAACACCRCCAAATGCAAGGAAATGTTGGTCTGCTTCAAAAGGAAAACACCTACAATCAGTAACATTACATCAGTCATTGAGAATTCCTGCCAAGCATGGTACGTTTTACAGCACTCCGAATTACTTCCTCGAATAACTTGAATCTTTCCAAAGGCGAACGATGACAGTTATATACCCGGATCACAGCTACAACGAAGCCTGCTTGCAAGCAAGGAACCCACGAGTGGAGGAAATGCTTGAAGTAATGTTTAAAGTCCGACAATGAGGACTGGACGGGGTTTCAAGTCCGCGCAATTAGTTYCAGTCCKAGGCGTTAGCCGTTATGCGTATAGCATATTTTCAATTCTCTGGTCGACGAAATTCCTGGAGAAGGTAAATGGAGTGTTTTCTTTAAATGTGTTTATTTTAAGCAAAATCAAGGTATTTTTTCTCGTGAAAACATTTTTTCAACTTTAATGAGAATTTCAATACAAACTTTGTCACTCGCATTGTTCTTGTTTTCAATATATTAAAATAACTTTCTATTTCTACTATCGCCCGTGCTTGTGTTTATTATCATTTTAAAGCTAAAAAGCTTTAAAATCGGGTGGGTACAGTCAAATTATTGAATAAATTGCGTGCGCTTTTGTAAAGCACTATCAATATGCTGCACATGTGTGCCTGAGCTAACTGTGTTATTACGTATGAATCCCTTGAACCAAAGGTGTAAATTCGTCGACATAAGATCGAACATGCACTTGAGGTGGTAGGAATGGCTAAAATGGGTGTCATTTCACGAAAAATTATTCAATTTGTGTTCATCAAAGTTTGTCCAATTGTATTATACAGTGGCCTTGTCTATAAAATTTTCTTCAAAATTGCAGGTGAAAAGGTGTGAAAAGTCGCACCTAAGGTGTTAAAATTCCCCTGGTAGCCCAGCCATGCTTTTTGAAAATTACTTAATATCTCGCTAGCTTAGCAATGGAATTACCCCAAACTAGAAAATATACAAGTACTTTGGATGTTTTATCAAACGCACGCAGCCCGGAATTTTTGTTGTTGTTGCTGCGAAAAAAATGGAACCTCAAGGAAAACACGAACAAATCTTTAATTAAATAGTTGTTTGCTCCGGGCTGCGTGGAGTTTAATTCTGGAAAGATAATACAACTTTCAGCCAAATTTGATGGCAATATTGTTAATAGAAAGCAATATAATGAATAAAATGTCATTAAAGTCCACCTCACCCAATTTTTTTTACAGTTGGAAAAAAAAGTTTAGGAGTTATAAACCACAAATTCACATAAAAAAAATTCGAATTTCCAAATTTTATATTTTTTATGCTCGTTTAATTCGGCCAAATGATTTTTGGCCGAGTGCGAGGGAGCCTGGGTTGATGACGTAGATGGAGTAACTCGTCCTTCGGTAAATACAAAGTTTACTGTACAAGTTCCACATATTTCATTACAAATCTATGTTTTCTAAGACTGAACGTGGGATAATCCAGCCTGAAACGGCAAATCTAATGCTACTAGAGATTATTCTGACGATTTGAACGTTATTTCATGTCTTGGCTATAAAAATGGAGCCAAAGTGTTGAGAGATTATTCTGGACAAACAAGTGTTGCGTATAGATCTAGATAAATATCGAGGAACAGGAAAAGTTATTTACGGCCCCAGGTAAGTAACTTCTTTCAATATATGTAGGTAGTATTTACAGCTGTTCAAATTCCAGGTTCTCTTGTTTCAGATTTGATTTTTACTGTCATTTCACTGTAGGTATCTATCGTTGTCTCTCGAACGACTTACTCCCTCTACGTCATCACGAAGACATTGATCAGGCACACAGGAATCCCGAAATTGGCTTTGTCCGCGGTTGTTTTCGCTTCAAAATGTAGTTTAAATAAACGAAATCAAATTTGTTTGTACAAATTGTTGTTACTATGACAAAAGTCTTTTCTTTACAAATATAAAAAAAATTGGGTGAGGTGGACTTTAA